GAATCAGTTAAAATAGTTCATATGTAAATTACACGGGTTCACATATGAACATATATGAATCAGTTAATTTGTTCATATGTGAATCAGTTAATTAGTTCATATGTGAATCACACGAGTTTATAGGTGAATCACACGAGTTTATATGTGAATCAGTTAAAATAGTTTATATGTAAATTACACGGGTTCATATATGAACATATAGTTCATATGTAAATTACACGGGGTCATATATGAACACATAGTTCATACGTGAATCACATAAGTTCACATATGAACCCGTTTGCCGCCTATTTGTAAAAGTTATGAAACTACCCCCTCTAATTTTTGCATAGCGGCAATTATTGACCACTCAAAGCCGAACTTGTCAAATCCAATCTTGACCATATGAAATGGTAGGATCATTTCCTTACTTCTCAACATAACATTTGGCTATATATATATATATATATATATATATATATATATTTATTTATATATGTACCTACCTATACTTCAGGTTTCCAGAGGGGTCGAGTGACCAAAAATCAAACACAACCCGAATCCAAATATCCCTTAAAAAACCGTGTTTCAAATTTTATAATTTGAGGCATTCAGGGCTTGCACAAACACCTTATTTTCAGTTCGGGTTTGGATGTCGCACAACATAGTAAAAAGACTAAGGAGCCGTTTACCTAAATACTTACTTGGTAAGCGCTTACCATTAAGAGTTAACACTATAATTTATTTTATCGGGTAAGATTGTGGTACATCAAAACATATTTTATGCAACAATTTACCTGGTAAGCGTTTATCCGGGTAAGAGTCGTCACGTTCACTTACTGGGTAAGACTCTTCATTTTTATCATTGCTCTTACCGAGTAAGATTCTTGCCCCTTGTCATGTTCATCCGGTAAGAAAAATTGCCCGATAAATACTTCCTGGGTAAGCGTTTTGCATAAAACTGTTAGTTATCTAATACTCAAAGGACTGTTTATGTAATATACCAACTCTCTTAACTCCGTTGGCATATTTGGCTCGCTCACCGACTTGGCACGTGATCTCTGGCTCTGCAACATCATGGCATCATCACCTTCCTCTCTCCATCCCCACTTTGTATGTACATATATATATGTATTTTGCACTATTTCTCCTTTTTCTTTCTATTCATATATTATCTTCGCTTCTCATCCGATTCCCTTTTTCTATTCTTGAATTTTTTCACATAGATTTCTCCACCCGATCGATCTGCTTCTCACATACTCGGTGGGTTTGAATTCTTTAATTCTAACTTGATTCGATTGGTGCTTTATCGCCATGAAAATATCTTTTGATTGATCAATAATGTAATCGGATGGATAATTTGGACTTGTTTCTAACCCTAATTTTGTGTGATCGCTTCTTGGTGAGGTGGACTGTGTGTTGCAGATGATTATATCGTAATGTGCTCATATGATTTCTGTTTTTGCATTTTTACGTATGTTTGTGGGTTTACTTCCCCAAATGGGGATTGTTTGATTTTTCGAAAATTGGAGTTGGAATGATTAGTTGATTCAAAGATGTTCAATTGATAGGTTTAGTTGACCACAAGACTAAACTTGAAACCCTCAAATGCAGTAACTTCAGAATTGTTTTTGCTACTTTGATAATTTGGTAGTAATTGAAGTGGATGGTATTCATATATGAATAAGGGAGCCAGAGCTCATGAACGCCTTGCTCTATGTGGAAATCAACAATAGGGGTTTTTAGGATTCACTAATGAATCACTAATTACAAGAAATTGAAAGAAAGTGGCACTTCATTTCATAGTCTTTTTATAATGGAAAGGGAAGTTGCTTAATGAAAAGATAAGCATAATCTACAAATTACAACAGGTTTAAAGCTAGCCACGTTGGGGAATAAGGTTTAGGTATTGATTTCAATTTGTTTTTATGGACTTCTGATAATTTCCTACCCATCTTGTTTTCTTGATGTGATGTTGTTTGCAGTCTATTTAGTCTTGCTAAATGGCACATGTTGGGCTTTGTTCTTTTGTTCTGCCTAGCAGGTTAGATTGTTCAGAAAATGTCATCTCCAAGCAAAAGGAGGGATATGGATGTCATGAAGCTGTAAGGATGTTATGTTTATATGTTCTTTTCTGTATGTTTGTAGTATATGCAGCATTTGATTTTCCTGAAATAAACTTTTCTTTGAAGTATGTAATATTTTCGTACAACAAATACTGATGCACACTTGTCACATTTGATTAGGTTTGAACCCTTGACCTTGTGGTTGGTTAGGCTCTGTGAGATCCTACATTGGTTGGGGAGGGAAAAAAAGATTGCCTTACCTCCTCTGTAGACATGTTTTATAACCGTCAGTCTAGAGTCTAGACAAAGTGGACGATATCTAGTAGAGTTGACATGGGATGTTACATAAGGTATAAGAACCGAGAACCAGATTGGTGATGTTGGGCTTCGTGAGGGTGGGTGGGTTGTGAGATCCTACATCGGTTGGGGAGGGGAACAAATGTTGCCTTATAAGGGACTGGATACCACCTATATTTGACGCGTTTTAAAACCGCGAGTCCAAGTGTGGACAAAGCGGAAATATCTGGTACGGTTGACGTGGGATGTGGGATGTTACAGGCTCTAGTAGTAACCTAGATACTGTTGGGCCAATGACCCTTCGGTTCTTGAAATAAACTTGCATGCGTAGGTTTTCACATTAAGGTTCACAAGGTTGTTTTTAGAATCAAGATTTTAAGGTGCACTATATTGATGTTGCATTCATGTTGAAGGATGATGAGTGACTATGCTGTGGAACCAATAAATGATGGGATCAATGAACTTAATGTGGAATTCCACGGTCCAAAAGAAAGTAAGAGTCTCTTTCTGTACCGCATTTTGTGGTTTTGCAGTAGAAATGTATCGTGCTTCATTTTGATTGTTTGAGTTGTGAATGTTTGAATAACGGCGAGTAATAGTATTTGGAAATGTATATCTTCTTTTTGTAGATTGTATTAGTGTTTGCTTCAATAACCCAAGGAGATGGCCTAGCAGTCAATCCCCATTGGGCCTTGTGTTCAATGTAGCATAAGGTCTCGGGTTAGATTCCCGCTAGGTGCTATAAAGGTGTGTTTGGTATACTGGACAGAACATGGAGCACTGTTCCACGTTTGGCAAGACTTTTATGTGGAACAAACATGAATAGAGTGAAACAAAATGGAATAGGCGTGTTCCACCCCCACCCCATGGAACAAGCTGGAACATACCTATTTTTACCAATATAATCTCAAAATAAAACCTAATTCTCTTCCAAATAAGCCTTCATCTTTACATTTTATTCAGTCTTTTAAATTTTATCTATTGTATTTTATGCTCTTTTAACTTTATTTACTGTCCTCAAAATATTATTTTTTTACGGTTTTTATATTTTGATTAATCTATGTAATTTACTAAATATTGTTATAAAAAACGATATAGAAAATGTAGAAAATAAAAATTGGAAACTACATAACCTTTTTATTTTGGTGTCATTTTAATCGTCTTGACGAAACTTCCTAGTGATATATCTTGTTATAAAAAATATATATTTTATTATAACTTAATAAATTACATAATTAATCAAAATATATAAACAACTCATCAGGGGTAAAGTGGTCATTTTATCTGTTATGTCTTGTCGAGTTTTGTCATACCAAATGCTAAATAGTTGTTCTGCCGTGTCTTGTTCTATTCTGTCTGGATACCAAACGAACCCTAAGTTTCTTTGATGACACACCCATTTGTTAGAAGGCCTATCGTTTCCGGGTTCACGTGGAGATGGCGTTTTGCATGAACCTCGTTGACTAGTTGGGTCAAAGGAGCCATATTCCTGGTAAACGCTTACCTAGTTAGCGTTTGGTAAACGGCCCCTTAGTTTCTTGTTGAAATATGTTTTGCACTATATCTTTTCAATTGATTTGTTCGTACCATTCTGTCATCGATCACTGCTGGGTCGGTTGGTGAGTCGCCCGACGAAGGGGGGACGGGTAAAGCTACAGGCTTTCATATGCAAAAGCTAGTCATTGATTCCCTTTGTGTTGCTCTTTTACATGATTACATGCTTTGCATTGTCATTGCTGCAGGTCTATATGAAGGTGGCGTATGGAAAGTCCGTGTGGAGCTTCCTGATGCTTATCCATACAAATCTCCTTCTATCGGGTTTCTAAACAGGATCTTCCACCCAAATGTTGATGAACTGTGAGTTTACTTGTTTCTGCAGCTAACTCAGGGGCTGTTTGGTTGGTTTTCTATTAAGGGTCTGTTTGGTTGGTTTTCTATTAAGGGTCTGTTTGGTTGGTTTTCTATTAAGGGTCTGTTTGGTTGGTTTTCTATTAAGCTTAACGAGCTTAATGGGACTCACAACTTATTCAATCAGCTGTACGTTACTGTTTGGTTGTGGCTTAATGATATAGAAAGTGGCTCATTCGTTAAGCTTCTTCTAAGGGAACCTTTATGCAGAAAGCCAAGTTTCTCCAAAACCGTCCCTCCCAATTTAAAAGTTGAAATAGAAGTAGGAAAGCTAAGGAAAGAACTTACAGTACAAAAATTGAAATAAAAGGGAAGGTGGTTTATAGCTGACTGGAACTTTTTGATGGATTGCAGGTCTGGTTCTGTCTGCTTGGATGTAATTAACCAATCATGGAGTCCGATGTTTGGTAATAGTCGCTTATTATCTTAGAACCACAATAGTGGGAAATTGTCCAAAATAGCCATTCCGGACTCACCAATTCATTTTATAGTCACTTTTTTACTAAATTGACCGAAATAGCCAAGATTTCGCAATAACACTTTATCAATTTGCAAAATTTTACTTTTTTATGAATTTAATATTCATAAAGTAACACTTTAGCAAATTGCTAAAGTGCTACTTGCGAAATGCTGACGTGGCAAATAGCACTTTAGCAGGTTGGGTAAGTAGCACTTCAACAACTTCCAAAATTGCTACTTTGAATACCATATTCATAAAAAGTGGATTTCACAAGTTGCTGAAGTGCTACTTGCAAAATCTTGGCTATTTCGGTCAATTATGTAGAAAAACGGCTATAAAGTGAATGGTTGGTGTTCAAAAATTGTTGTTTTGGACAATTTCCCCCACAAGGTTTCGCAATAGCACTTTAGCAATTTGTGAAATTTACTTTTTATGAATTTAATATTCATAAAGTAACACTTGCTAAAGTGCTACTTGTGAAATGTTGACGTGACAAGTAGCACTTTAGCAAGTTGGGTAAGTAGCAACTTGCTAAATTGCTACTTTATGAGTACCGTATTCATAAAAGGTGGATTTCACAAGTTGCTAAAGTGGTACTTCTGGTCGATTATGTAGAAAAGTGGCTATAAAGCGAATGGTGGGGGGTTTCAAAAATGGCTATTTTGGACAACTACCCCCACAGTAGCTTATAAATCCTTACTACATCTTCTAGCAGCAAAAATAACCGAAAGTTTTCTAGTGTAGAGCTCAAGCAATGGATCTTCTTTAACTTTTGATATAATCTTTCTTCTCTTCTAGCTACTTGACCTTGTTGGTCATGTTATACTCCCAATTTGTGGTACATAAAATGGAAATCTTGTTATATAATTCGTAGTATTAATTTAGTTTGTTATAAGCTTTACCAAGATCATAAAAATTTCTTGTGCTATTTATTATTTACAGATCTGTTAAATGTATTTGAGGTTTTCCTCCCCCAACTTTTGCTATATCCAAATCCTTCGGACCCACTAAATGGTGATGCAGCATCGCTGATGATGAAGGATAAGGAGCAATATGAGAAGAAAGTGAAAGGTCCATTGTCTTTCTTTTGTGTTTCTTCTCCTTTTTACTTTTAGGGTGCGTTTGGTATCTAGACAGGATAGGACATGACGGAACAGTTGTTCAACATTTGGTAAGATAGAACCAGACATGACAGAACAGATGAAATGACCAATTTACCCGAAATGAGTTGTTTATATATTTTGATTCATTTATGTAATTCATTAAATTATAATAAAATAAATATTTTTTCTAACAAAATATATCATTAAGAAGTTTTTCTATATTATTTTTTATTATTAATATTTAATAAATTACATAAATTAATCAAAATATAGAAATCGAATAAAAACAATATTTTGAGGACAGTAAAGTGAAAGTTTAAAGAGCATAAAATACAATATATAAAATTTAAAGAATGAATAAAATGTGAAGAGGGAGGCTTATTTGATGTTTTAGAAGAGAATTAGGTTTTATTTTGAGGTTATATTGGTAAAATATAGGTCGGTTAAGCCTTATTCCATGGGGTGGGGGTGGAACATGCCTATTCCACTTTGTTCTTGTTTGTTCCACATAAAAGTCTTGCCAAACATGGAACAATAATCCTTGTTCTATTTTGTTCCGTCTAGTGTACCAAACGCACTGTTAGGGTAGGGTGCATCTGGTACAGGACAAAACAAAAACATGTTGTCACACGTTTGGTGCGACACCAGATCAGGACATGACAAGGCCTGAGTGGGACAAAAATGAAATTTTTTCCCCAACATAATAGGTGGAAGAAAAATGAGGGTGATGGGATAAGATTGATAAAATACTAAACTACCCTTGTCAAATTAAAACCTTCCACAATTATTTCACCTGCCTATCTTACTCTCGTCCGTGTAGTCTTGTCCAGTCCCGTCAGCGCACCAAACGCATCCTTAGCTCCATAAAAATGGAAAATGCCCTACCTTTGAGTATGGTTTGAACCATTTATTTTCATATTTCTAGTCAAGGGAACTTGGGAGGAGTTAGACACCAGGACTTTGATCTTGAGGTGCTATTCAATAACGTTGATGTATGGCTTACTTTGTGTTTCGCCACAATCAAAGGAAACGGGTCTCCCCGGTCAAACCTTAAAAAAACCAAATTGTCAACGTAGTGCGATTAACATTTATGAATCCCATTTGGGTTTCTTGGTGCAGAGTACTGTGAGCTATATGCAAAGAAGGGAGACATAAGTGGCACACTCACAGACGACAGTGATGGAGATGTAAGCGATGATGACATCAGCGATGGACGAAGCGAATCAAGTGAAGATGTTGCCAGAAATGCAGACCCATAAGGACATAATCACCATCGAACTTGAATATGATTAAAAAAAATGTTGTTATCCCGACCCTCTTATTACGGGTTTTGTCACATAGTTGCTTGTAAAATTAGAATGTGTAATGAATGCTTATAAGTTTCACTTGTCACCTTGGATTTTTGATGGTGAATATAAATGGGAATTTGGGATTTATCACAAAAGATTTTTGCTTAGCGGACTTATTTCGTTTGCTATACCCGTTTTGCATACATCCCACCCTTAGACCCTACTTTGGATATATGGGTCGGGTTGGTTTATTTTTGCGGTGTTCTTTGACTAATATCATTCTCTTTCTCTAGCAGATTTGATGATGCCTTCAGGAAGACGAAGTCTATGGGAGATTTAGAGTCGAGATGCAGTGGCGTTTTCGGATTCTTCTGTAAGTAAAATAATATTTGGAATATGTCTTTTAGCTTATTATACGATAAATGCTTCAACTGTTTGTCATTTTGTTCTTGTAATTTTGAATCCCTTTCAAGGAATAGATATGGATTATAATATACTTAGGTCTAGTTTGTTAGCAGCTTAATGAGCTTAATGGGACTTGCAGCTTATTCGGTCAACTATACATGACTCTTTGGTAGTAGCTTAATGATATAGAAAGTGGCTTATTCAGTAAGCTCTTAGGGAGGATCTTTATGCTGAAAGCCAAGTTTTTTCCGAACCTTCCTGTTCCAATTACAAAATATGCTACTTCCATCTACGAAAAAGCCCTCCCAAACAAAAACCTTTACGATCTATAAGACAAATTAATTCAAACAAACAAACAACTATATCCATACAAAACTTAATGTCATACAAGAAGATAGATTATAAGGTATAATTATTTGATCTTGAGGATTCATTTTATATAACTAGAAACAGCATCTATACTGCATAAACCGTCACAAGATTCTTGTACTCCACGGACCACTTCTCTCGACCTTTTTCTAGTGCCGGCTTTTTGTATCAAAGTGTTGTCTTCTACCGAATTGGAAACATTAGGAATTCTGAATTCGATTCCATTGTAGTTTCCGTCACTACAGGAATTAAAGTCGATTTCTAAGCCGGTTCTTTAACCATTGGTTTTGTCCTCCCTCCACCACACATCGTATTTGAATTTCTTGATTTCATTCTTTAATGATTGTGTTGATGATATCCAAAATGAAGCCGATTCCTATCTGGGTATTCTTGATTTTGTTGTTTTTCCTCTTTCAATCAACGAAATCTGCTGAGTTGGATGCTATCGATGCGTTGGTCAGTTTCTTTGAAGATCTTTCTGGGTATTTCTCGATATCGAGTCCTGTTTCGGGTTGGATCCGGACTTCTGATCCTTGCAAGAATAACTGGACCGGTATTGTGTGCTATGATCAAACACCATCCATTAAGTCAATCACCTTTGAAAGTTTCAATCTTTCGGGAACTTTTAAACCGAATACAATCTGCAGTATTGCATCCCTTGCGAGTTCTATTGTTGTTATTAGCCTCAATAACAACAATCTCCGTGGGGAGAATCTTGAAGCGATTTCTAATTGCAAAAAGCTCACCCATTTGTACATAAGTCGAAACCAAATTTCGGGCATTCTTCCTGATTCACTTTCCCATTTGAACAATCTCAAGAAACTCGATATATCAAACAACGCGTTCTCTGGGACGTTATCTAGTTTGCCCAGAATATCGGGCTTAATAGAATTCATTGCTCAAAACAATCAGCTTTCCGGGTCAATTCCGGAATTTGACTTTTCTAATTTGGCCACCTTCAATGTCTCCAACAATAATCTTTCTGGTCCTATTCCACCCGGGGGCGACCTTTTTAACGCCACTAGCTATCTCGGAAATCCTCAATTATGTGGCGATCCGTTGCCAAACCTGTGTGAAACCCAACGAGCCACACCCCCAAGCGCAGCTCAAAACTCCAGTGATCCGAAAAAGAGTGGGCCCAGTTCAGTTGAAATCCTCATGTATTCGGGTTATGTTCTTGTGGGTTTAGGCTTGTTTTTTGTTATTATGATCAAATTATGTAAAAGAAAGGGAACGAAAAAGGAAGAATTAGTTGAAGAAGGCGATTATCCTCGTTCAAAAGAAGAAGAAGAAGATGCTTCGAAAACGCTTACTTTTGCTTCCAACGAGTTTAGAAGTATCGCCATGAGTAAATCCGAAGTTTTTGCAGGTAATTCTGTTGAAAGCGGGCCGGTTTCTTCTTCTTTGATAGTTCTTACGAGTCCGGAGGTGAACGGGTTGAAATTCGAAGAACTTTTGAAGGCACCGGCGGAGTTATTGGGGAGAGGGAAGTATGGGAGTGTGTATAAGGTGAATTGTGAGGAACAGGGAATGACACTTGCGGTAAAAAGGATCAAAGATTGGTCGTTACCCTCGAACGATTTCAAGTTAAGAATGAAACGGTTAAATCACGTGAAGCATCGGAACGTGTTGCCGGTTGTGGCGTTTTATTGTTCTAAACAAGAGAAGCTTTTGGTTTACGAGTATCAACCTAACGGAAGTCTCCTCAAGTTTCTTCACGGTACCTTTTTTTTTCTATTCGTTCGTACTTCATGCAGGACCAAGGGTTTTTTTTACCAACACAAGTTGTGTAAGTGTTAATCTAGTAAGAGTGCGGTTTGGGTAAGAGGTTCGGTCTAGGTAAGTGCCGACTGAAATTAGTTGTTTACCTAGTGTCTGGGTAAGGGCCGGCAGAAAAACTGAGCGATTCAGAAAGCAACCCGTTCCTTACTGGGTTAGTATCTCGGTCAACATATTTGTGTGTCGGTGTGTGTCGGTGTGTGTCGATAAACACCATCCCTTCTTACTGGGTAAGCATCTTTTACCCTGTGTGAGTCATATCACATAGTAAACAACCCTCAAGTAGGAGACTAAGAGGTCGTTTACCTAAATGCTTACCCGGTAAGTGCTTAACGTTAGGAGTCAACACTATAATTTATTTTATTGGGTAAGATTGTAGTACATCAAAACGTATCATATACAACAATTTACCTGGTAAGCGCTTACCCGGATAAGAGTCGTCACCCTCACTTACCGGGTAAGACTCTCCATCCTTATCATCGCTCTTACCGGGTAAGATTCGTGGCCCTTGCCATGTTCATCCGGTGAGGAAAATTTCCCGGTAAGTACTCACCGGGTAAGCGTTTAGTAAACGGCCCCCAAGTGTTGGGACCTATGTATGTGTATGTGTGTGTGTATATATATATATATGTTACAACCTGCAAATCAATATTTATGAAAATGATGACGGTTCATTTATTATGATTTAAATATGCGGTGTTGTTACATATAAATCAATATTTTGCAGGAACACCGACGGGTCAAACATTCGATTGGAGCAGTAGGCTCGGAGTTGCATCCACCATAGCCGAAGCTTTGGCATTCATGCACGATGAGCTTCATCGTGACAGTATTCCCCATGGAAACCTGAAATCGTCAAACATTTTGTTCAACAAAAATATGGAGCCATGCATTAGTGAATACGGGCTAATGGCGGTCGACAATTCGGATAATTCACCCGCCATAGATATCGTAAATAACACCTCCCAATTGAATCCCGATCAAATTGAATCGGGCTTCAGACTCGATATCCATGCATTAGGAGTTATTCTTCTTGAGCTCCTAACTGGAAAACCGTCCATGGTTCAAAACAACGGGATGGATCTAGCGAAATGGGTTGTTTCCGTGGTTAAAGAAGAATGGACCGTTGAAGTGTTCGATCGAGCCCTGATTCGAGAAGGCGCGAGTGAGGAACGGATGGTGAATTTACTACAAATAGCCATAAAATGTGTTGATCGGTCTCCGGAATCCCGGCCGAGCATCAACCAAATCGCTCTTATGATCAATAACATCAAAGAAGAAGATGAAAGATCCATGGATGTCTCTGAATCCCCATTTGAGATAAGGAACTAAGAATTGTTTCACATATATTGAATGCTTTGATACAGAATGATTAAGTGGTTAAAAATTAAACTGTTTTTTAATGAAATCATTAAGAGGTAAACAAAAAGATTAAAAGGGTTGTTTGTTTACTTCTCAATAGTTTCATAAGAGACAACATCTGAATAGTTAAGAGGTGAATCTTGTTTGACAAAAAAAAAGTCTGGCTCTTAATGGTTCTAAAACCTTCTGGATGATTTTGTATCTTGGCCCTCTCTTAACCATTCAGCGTTCTAAGTTCACTGTAAACAATTACCAAACAATTATATTTCATTTTGTATTATATCATGCGACCTTCTTAATCATTTTATACCAAACCATTCAACAACTTTCAAATATCCAAATGGGTTTTTAATTTTCAATATTTTTAATGGGATCTCTATTAGATTTTTTTAGGGTTTGAGATGGTGATGCATATGGATTTTGGGCATATTTTATTTGGAATTTAGTTTGGTTTTTTATTTTATTTTATCATTTTGTATGTGTATTTATTGAAGAAGAATCATTGGATTGTGTTTTTAAATGAATTCATCTTTTGGAATAGCATTTCATGACCCAAACAATCTTACTCAGGGTCGTTTACCAAACGTTTACTCGAGTAAGTGAACATCAAGTCATATTACGTTACCTGATGAATATGGTAAAGACAAAAAATCTTACCCGGTAAGAGCGAGACAATGACCAAGAGTCTTACGCGGTAAGTGAGGGCGACGACTCTTACCATGGTAAGCGCTTACGGGGTAAATTGTTGCATACGATACCGTTTTGGTAGACTAAAATCTTACCCGGTAAGTAAATGATAATGTAAACTTTACCGGTAAGCACTTATCGGGTAAGTGTTTGATAAACGTCCCCCTTAAAAATGTCTAAATCTAAGGGAAAAGTGGGTATTTAGGATTTAGAAAATACATATTTTAATTATTTATGATTAATTACATTTAATAAGTATCAACATTATATAATAATTTGTCATGTAATTGTTTAAAATTAATTAAAAAATCATATGTTTTTAGATATTATCTTTTAATATGTAGTATATTTTATATACGACAAATACAACAAATAAACTTACACATCTTCCTCATTATTGATGAGGTTTGAACCCTAGACCTCCTACGAATAGGAGTGTTTAAAAACCCGATCAACCCAACGGGTAATAAGTCATCCCGAAGCAACTCGATGTCTAATCGAGTTGTAAAATTTTCAAACCGTAAGTATTGGGTTGATATTGTGTTACTATTATTTGAACCCAATCCAACCTAATGAGCTTGATATCCTTTTATTTCTTGAATTTAATATGATTGTTGAATTTCTATTAGTTATATATATATATATATATATATATATATATATATATATATATATATTAGACAATTACACTATCACGTACACTCTTTATATATACATATTTTCAATCTATCTACATCTCTATATAACTAATTCGTATATATGTTCTGTAACTATGAACATATATATGTAAATCGAAAAAATTAAATGAATGTAATATACGTAAGAAGTATGGATAAGTTGTATCAAATGGTTGCTGATGAAAAAGAAATTATGAGTAGAGAAATAACGCATTCAATGTTAGAATAATATTTTGATGTACCAAAGTATCAATCCAACCAACCCGTACGGTTTGGTTGTACTTTGGTCTGGGTTGAGTTCGGTTAAGATTTTTCAAACCGCAAGTATTGGGTTTGGTTGTTTAAATGTCTTAAACTCGATCAACTCAACACATGAACACCCCTATTTAGGAGGCAAGAGACTCAGATACGCTAGGTCAAAGATTCTTTAGTTTTTAGATATTAATTATTTAACAATAATTTTTTTATTATAAAATATTTAAATAAATAATTACTAAAATATTTAATTATTACAACTACAACCAATAAAAACACATCTAAAAACTATAATTAATTTTTTATTTTCTAAATATAGATACCCACCGTCTGGGCTTGTGAGTTATTTTTGGTTTGGGCTTGTGGGCCCAATATATTGATTTTGAGCCCATTGATTTATACATTTTTAAGGCATAAACTTAGATATGGTCAAATCGGGTCCGACATTGCCCGGGTCAGGTGTAACGAGACCACCTGAGTCGAGTCGAGTCGAGTTGAGTATTAGAATATTCGAACTCGGTTTGAAAAAATTATATTAGACTCAAGCTTGAATAATTTTTTCAATGTATGGCTTGAGCTCGAATATTCTTTGACTTAATGAGCCCGAGTTTGATGCTCGTTTATAGGTGATTAACTCGTTTACTGGATTGGAGTTTATAAATTTTACATTTTTTTGTATTATTTATTAATATATGAGCATGTTTCGTTGGAAGAAGTATATGTTTGAATGGCTCGGCTCGACTCAACTTAAAAATTTATTTGGGCTTGTGAACGAGCAGAGTGGAACATTGGTTTTTTTGAAGCTCGACCCGTTAAGTTAAACCGTGTTCTATTTTGTATTCGAGATCGACTCGAGTTTGAGTATCCCGTTAAAAGCGTGACTCGTTTACACCCCTACCCGAGACTGGTTGTTTACGGCTCAATGGTTTGGATCGGTTATAGATTTTATAGAAATTCAAGACCCGGCCTGGCTCGAAGCCAGTTACAAAAACAAGACTGAAATTAAATAGAAACCTGCTAAATTTACAATTTTTTATGTATCGTTTCATGAACGAAACAACACATTTTTTTTTTATAGTTTATAATATTTATATATGACAAAACAAATAAACTTACACACCCTTCTCACTTTTGGTGAGGTTTGAACCGTTGACCTCCTAGAAGACCAAAGACTCGCATACCGCTAGGCCAAAGGCCTTTTGGTGAAACAACACATGTTGAAAACCAAACCTGTCCACTGAGTTTGCTTTTTAAGCTATGATTCATATTGTTTCACATGTTTTATTCTTATGTGTGAGTATGAGTATGTGTTTCATATATAAACGTATTTTTTGCATTTTTTTCACATATAAAACATTCATTGATGTTTCATCTATGAAACAACACTGTATAAACACGACATATTCACATATGTTATTTCATATATGAAACAACACATACAAACTGGTTTTATTTAAGAATCTGTATGAAATGATCAAACGTAATATTTGAAGTTTCTTGTAAAGAATGTCAAGATAGCAACAAAGAGAAAAAAAAAACAGTCAATACATTATATCATATCTGTTGTTGAATCCTTTGTTGTTTATGTTGTCTTCCAAGATCAACAAGTTTAAAGCCATTCCTTTTAGTCAATTATGTCGTCTTATTTTCGTTTTAAACACATATGGAACTCGAGTAGCAGAAACCATACTCAAATTAATCAATTTTCACATGTTTCTTATTAATTTACTAGTTTTTTTTTAAGTATATAATGTTTATATACGGTAATAGAACAAATAAACTTACACATACTCCACACATTTGATGATGTTTGAACCCCTGACCTCCTAGGAGTCTAAAGACTCACATACCGCTAGGCTAAAGGTCATTTGGTTTAATTTACTAGTTCTAACAGTCTCTACTCTTTAAATGTACCGTAAAAAATGTGACATCTTGTCCTTTTTAGAATCTACTTCATATTGGATTTACCAGTTTTTTTGTTTCAAAATATAAACCAGAAAAAAACTGCAAATATAATTACAAATCTCATTAAACTGTGTAAACCAAACAGACTCTACGGGCTTATTTGTTAGGAGCTTAATTCGTTTAATGAGACTCACAGCTCAATCGGCAAGCTATATATCATTATTTGCTAGTGATTTAATGATATATAAAGTGACTTATTCAGTAACGTTCTAGAGGAAACTTTATTGTAAACAGCCAAAAAAAATTTCTTCCAAACCTACATTTTCCAATTAAAAAACATGCTCCTTTCATTTATGAAAACAAATCCCCTCAAACAAAAACCTTACCGATCTATATAGACAGCTTAATCCATCCATAAATGACTTAATAAAAAGTAAACAATCCTAAGTTAGTTAGCAATGAAATAATTGGTTATTGGTATGAATGACTAATCACAAGAATACAAAATGTTTACAGGTAAAGTCAAAATCCCTCTCATTTTGGTCAATATTTTGACAAAATCTTGTCAAATAGTCAAACACACACATGCTTACATCTTCCCACTCCTTACCCACCATTGAATTTTCAAAATTTTGGCCCCTCAATCTTCACCATCTTTGCAGCTTCCTTCCAATCTTCCCACCAGTTTGAATTTTATAATACCATTAACCATTCCAACCTCATTCATCTATAAATACCTTCATACCCTTTTCTAGTCTAAATACCTAAATATCCCTTTGGTTCTTCAGACTTTTTTCCAGATTCTAGTATTCCATAAATACCCTCATATATTTACCAGCTTCAACACCTAAAAAGCTCTTTGGTTCTTTAGAAACCCAAGACTTGTTCTGGTATCAAGCAACTAGATTCTAGTATTCCATAAATACCCTCAGATCTTTTCCAGTTTAAATACCTAAAAGGCCCTTTAGTTCTTCAGAAATATAGGAGTTTATCCAGAATAAAGTAGCTAGATTCTAGCATTCTACAGCCATGATGAGAAAACCAAATTACGTTTTGTTATTTCTGGTTCTGTTTTTGAGTCTCAGCCCTTTGTTCACCGCGATTCAAGCACGAAAGCTAAAAGTACCCAAGAATGAACACCACCATATGGGGGAGGTTGTGGAAAAAGGAGGGAAGGTTATGCAACGGCATTTTGAACAAGTTCTTGAGCTTCGCGGGATCAAGAACTCTGGACCAAGTCCCGGGGAAGGACACTCTGCTATCAACGGAGCACATAATTAGACTATCCCTTTGAATTCTCTCTAAAATATCCCTTATAAAGAGGGAGAAGTTCCTACACATATATGTATATGTATATATATATGGGTTTGATGGTCCTTCAACACGCCCCTTAAACGGAGGTGAAAGAGTGTGTTGAGTCCTAGCTGGTGCTAGACCTTGGGTTTGACACCATGTTAGAATGGGTACAAACCCTTTGAATTCTCTCTAAATTTTTTTTTTCAATTACTTCAAACATTCTTTGTAATCATGTATTTATATGAAAAGATTATCCCAAAGATAATGGAAAATACATAGATTTCTCTTTAAAGACATACCCAGAAAGATTATAGAGTTTTCGCTTTTCGCTTTTCGGTATGACATTCAGCTTCTAGAATACAACAAATAACCTATGATCATCATGCATGTTGTTTCTCATATCAAAACATCGAGACTACAAACCTTTTGGCTATCAATACATAAACCAAACCAAACCAAACCGACCCGGTAAATCCCTCCCGAAAGTAGGGTGTGGGGGTAAGATGTATGCAGGTCTGACCTCTACCCCAAAGAGTAGAACGGTCCTTTCCGATGAGTTATCTATACATATCATATGCATAACCCATATAATTATACCTGGATCGTAGATTCTGAAAACTGTAACTAGGATTTCTGTAATCAACACCCTTTATCAACATATCTTCACGATTTCGATCCTGTTCTTGAACCGCCCCAAAAACGACCTCATTGGTGGTCTCGTTATTTTCCTGATAGTAAGTCTGAGATCCTAACGAGTAGTGCATCTGATGGTGTTGTTGCTGTAACTGTTGCATTTGCTGTTGTTGGTTAAAGTGCTTGCCATTATGTTTACCGTATATATAACGGGGCTGGTTGGATTGGCGGGGTTTTTCGGGGTAGGATTTTCTTGAATTCGGGTTTCGGGTTTCTAAGGAAACGGGTGGATCTGCATTCGGGATTATGAAGGTTTCTTGCATAGGCCAAGTGTTGAAGTATGGAGGAAATTGATGGTAATTTGTGTGACGAGTGTTGATCGGATTCTTTTTGGAACTAGAGAATAAACCACCAAAGATTTCGAATAGAGATGAACCAGTGTTGATAAAAAGTTTTCCTAGTGAATCTAAGAAGCTGTCTTCTTCTTTCTCTTGTTCATCGGCCTCGGGTGGAATCAATGGTGGCCTCACTGATTTAACCGGCTTTTGATATGTAGATGGATGAACGTGCTGCAAGGGAGATCTTGGATCCTGAGAAAGAGAGAAGAAACATTTTGTGAGATTGGAATCCCGTTAGATTATTCTCCAAAAGAGCCGTTAAGTAGAGAAGAGAGGTTCCGAAATATATTGAGCATAAATGATCCAAATCTAGCCGAAGTGGGACCCCAACACACCTCCAACGGAGGCTAGACAGACATAGGGTTCTTTTTCTAATTTTATTTGAAAGTTTCTTGGGATATTAAATCTATTGAGTATTTTAATAATATAATTTATGTTGAAGTCTTCAAAATAGAGAAACTGTTGGAGTCTTGAAGATGAATATAATTTTTTTTGGAAATTTTAACTTTTGTTTCTCAATTTTGGATAAATTATAGAGAGAAATTGTTGGAGATGCTCTAAAGGGGCTACACGAGTATAGGTTGCCTCAAAGTGTCGAGGCCCTAAAGTAGTAGACTTTTCCAAGTCGGACTTTTTCGAGCCAGGCCTGCCCCCAAAATTTTGGCCCTGATCGGGCTTTGAGGCCTGGCCTGGACCAGGATTCGGGCTTGGGCTTTTTTGTGCATCTCTAATCTAGCCAATGTGAGATTTCAACATATAACAAGTTCATGGAGGCTTACATGGGGAGATGAAAACATTGCACTAATTCGACGTTGTAACAAGGCTAGCATGAAGCCACAGAACACGGCAGCACTAAGAACCGCAATTCCTGAGAATATTAAAGCAAAATTTCACCATATTTTAATGCTTGCAAGCCAAATAAAAGCAGGATGATAATGAAGGATGAAGATGAACCTGATATGGTTGACAATTACCTAAATGTAGATTACCATCATAGTGATGAAAAGAGCAATCATCATCATGAAGTTGGATTTCTCGAATAGCTTGATTACCTCTATCAACCACCAAAATCGAGCAGCTACTAGCAACATATTGCACATCAAAGTCATTTGAAAACTTCACACTGTCACTTGCACCATCAATGTAATGCGAACCTCGCACCCAATTTCCTCCTGCTATGGTTACAACTCCTGTATATAAGCAAGTTCTTCAGCTCCATATTGAAGCACCCCAGATAATTATATTTGCATCAAGACAACGCGGGAGAAATTGATTACTTGAATCTGCTAAGCACTCTTAGGGCCTGTATGTCACTACCTTAATGAGCTTAATGGGATTCACAGCTTATTCGGTCAGCTTTACATGGCTGTTTGGTAGTGGCTGCTTCTACCTTTCTACGGGGGAGCTTTATGCACAAAACCAAGTTATTTCTGAACTTGTCCCTCCAAATTAAAAAATACACTCCTTCCATCTATGAAAAAGACCCCTCAAACAATTTTTTTCCCAATCTATACAGACAGATTAATCCACACAAACAAACAACTTTATCCATACAGGACTTAATGGAAAATCAACCAAACAGCCCCTTAAACTTGGGCCGTGTTTAGCAACCATAAGCTAGTTTATGTTTTGAGCTTATTGAGAAAGACATTTGGTTTGTAATAAGTTAGTTTTATGAATCACTACTTGGGTTTTCCTATTTTTTCTCAATTATGCCCCTTATATCTTCCAAATAATTTTTCAGCATGGTCCTTTTAAGTCATTTTACATTGTTATCTAGCTTATCAGCTAGTTTTTACCAAACAAGACTAGGTTATCAACTAACTCATTAGCTAACAGCTAGCTTACCAGCTAGTTTGCCAAACATAGCCTTGGTGTGAGAGAATCATGAGTGAATCACATTGGAAGCTGAAATTTTTTATTTGCTAGATAACCAGATTCAATATATGTGAGAAGAAAGTTGTGAGTTGAAGAGGTATGAATTGATAACTCAAAGATGTTATGACTTTACTCCAAAAGACAAACTAGAATTGAGTAATTGACCATATGTGGCGTACTAAAAATGGCAATGCACATTGCAAATTCTAAGAAATTGAAGAGGATGGATTATAAGACTAAAATCTCACCTGTATCACTGATCTTCCTGATAGCCATATTCTTGGTGTCTGCCACATATATATTTCCTCGGTCATCCACGGTAAGGCCTTTCGGGTGGTTCAACCTGGCTTCTCTGGGCTTCCCATCCACATGCCCTGAATAACCTTCAGATGATCCAGCCACAAGCGTTGGTAGTCTATCTGTGACCAACGCTCATTTGAAATTAAAGCATGAGTCATCGAACCACTATATAATCTTGTAGAAATAATATGCACTTGTGAGAAAATGCAGACTTTAAATGACAACTATTTAGTATTTTTCGTTTGAAACAAATACTGAGAAAAACAAAGAAGGAAGAACGGAAAAAAGAGAGAAAATAAGCAAGTTTCTAGGAACCCTGGTCTTAAAGAACACTGTTAGAGTCCCACATCAGCTAGACTTGGACCATTTCTCCTCAATATATGGTGGAACTTTCTTTCTCTCAAGGCCTCTTTTGGAGAGCAACCTTACGGGGTTCACATATTCTCACGGACACCAGATGCATAAACTCCAAAAGGTTAAAATCTAGTACAAAAGTGAGTATTCTGCTCGACAGAAGTAAATTTACATTCCTTGGCAGAACCAGAACCAGAAACGATTTTAAAGAAACATAGGTACTACGTTTGCAGGGTTCTTGTAAAAGTTCCCCAAAGTGGAAAAGAAGGCAGACGCCGGCCTCTGACCACCTCACACTGGTCCCAAGGTTATCACGGGGTACGTATTGCCCCAAACTGTCGAGTCCCTAGAGTGGTAGACCTTGACTCTATACCATGTGATAATATGTGGAACCCCGTTATCTTACTTCCCAAAAAGAGCCCTTGAGGAGGCCAGGGAGGTTCCAACAAATCTTGAGGAGAAATGGTCCAAGTTTAGCCAATGTTAACAAAGTTATATTCGATCAAATAAAGAGATCTAGTGTACTTACTAAAGGAGATTCTTCAAATAAAACAACAACAGGAATTTTATTCCATACTAGTTGGGATAGGCCGAAATGAAGCAAAAAAGAAACGAGAAAATGGTGAAAGTCAAAAGCAAACATAAAGAGGTGAAACCCCCAAGGTTCCAAGATTATTTTTTAACAAAAAGCATAGATAAAACCCAAATTTTAAAGTGAGCCTCCCATGAACTATGATTCTAAGAGGGTTTGTGAAGCAACTTAAGTGATCATTGTGGATAAATCAATCAATAGAACTGTCAAAGACATTGCTTCTCGCAATGTTCCAAAATTAAATTATATATTTTGACTTTTGTAGTCGTTCAAGATAAAGTTGAAATAGTGTTGAGGAGAAAAGAAGGTATTATGTTTAATTGTACAAAGATTCCACCAATAACCAAAAAGAAATAGAATCTTTAAAACAAAAATAAAACATACCCTTCCTGGAATCTGAAAATGACTATGTTTGCCTCAAAAGGGAAAATGTATCTCTAATTTGGAACTCACTTGGTACCGAAGTTAAGGTCTTCCACCATAGGGACTCGATATTTTGGGACAATCTATGCCCGTCAACCCCCTCCTGACACTCTGCGACAATATGTGCCCGTCTATGGTCTATTAGAGGGGGTGCCACATTGGCCGGATGGACTTTTTAAGGGCTCTTTTGGAAAATAATCTAATGGGGCTCCATATATTCTCATATCACTAATGTATATCATACTCTTATAATAAACTTAAAGATCATATATGATATATCACACTTACATCTAGAAAAGCGAGTTGAGATTTTGTGGATATTACTGTTTTGTGAGTCCAAAACAAGAAGCTCCCCGGATGGAGTTACCTCCACAGAGTAAGGCTCAATCCCCAGCTTGCTTCCATCAAACACTGTTTCTACAGTATACCCACCTTCAAATTTCATCATCGAACGGCTAGGAATAACTGTAAAATTACAAAAACAAAAACAAATTCGTTTCACCTCTTGAACCTTAATTACAGCAATGAGGAGGAAAAACTCAAAATTGCACAAACCGAAGCCAATTTTAGTAGTCGGTTTAAGAGACCACAGCCATTTGAAAAGTGCAGATACTGCATTCGACAAAATGCCACTGACAATTTCTGCAATTGAAACAAGCAATCACTAAACTGTTTATGCAAATTTATCAAAATAGAGAGAAAACTTCATGAAGTAACATTTACTTGAAGGTCTTGTTGCAGAAACATTTGAGAAAAAAGATCCAGTAAACACGAGAAAAATGTAGAGTGAAAACACCCAGTTTCTGCTGATCATCTTTCTCATTGCTGTTCAATAACAAAAGTAAACTTCAAATTTGAAGAGAAATATACACTGAGATGAAACGATCGGTGTTCCAATGTGATTGAATCAGAGAGAAAAAAATAAACACGCAGTGAGTGTGTGTTCTTGGGGTTTTGGGGGTGGAGTAGAAATGAAGGAATAGGGGAACCATGTGCCCCTAAACCGTTTTTTTATTTGAGTTAAAGAATGTTAAGGGCTAAACGGTAATTAACTCATAACTTTTGGCGCGTAAACCAACGAACTCCACTCTCCATATATTTATGTTTTATAAATTAATTTATATTTATATTTTATTTTTATTTAGACTTTGGATCATGTGAGACCAGCGTGTTTTCGTGAGACTCGTGAAACCAGCTTTTTATACTTGAAACTTCACAGCAAAATGCTGTGAAGATGACTTTTTTTAACCTTCACAGTTTTTTGCTGTGAAGGTTCGACTTTTTTTTAAACATTCACAGTGTTTTTGCTGTGAAGGTTCGACTTTTTTTAAACCTTCACAGTGTTTTTGCTGTGACGGTTCGACTTTTTTAAACCTTCACAGTGTTTTTACTGTGAAGTTTACGTGTAAAAATGTGGTCTCACGGGTCTCACGAAAACAGGCTGGTCTCACGTGAACCCAACCCTTTTTATTTAAGTATCAATAATATCCATGTTAAATTTAAGGGTGTCAATTATACTATTTTGACTTACTACAATCTTACCTGATAAAATAAATTACAGTGTTGACTCCTAAGAATAAACACTTACCAGGTATGCATTTAGGTAAACGGCCCCTAAGTTGGTGTTTTAATATAAATTGCTTTTAATTTATGCATAATCAAATAAGAACCTCAATTATTGTAATAACCGTTAAATTTTTTATTATAAGGTATTATTTCACATTATTTTTCCATCCAAAGCTAGAATTTAATATATTAATATATATTTTGTTTCATATGTATTCGGTTCATAATTTAAAACTCTTTTTTTGTATTTAACCCCCCCCCCCCC